CCGGCGCCCGCAGTCAGCGCCCCGCACCCCCGGCCGCCCCCACCCTGCCCCCGCGGGCCACCGGGCGGCGACCCCGACCCGGGCTCGGTCAGTCGGTACCTTCATGAAGGTCTCTACCGCGCCTTTGGCCGTGTCCAGGTAGGTGGTGCCCAGATGGCTGCGCTGGTTCATAGAGGCAGACGTGTCTATCAGGAACAGTAAGATGGGCATAGTGCTGGCCGGGGACACCGGGGCCCGAGGTGGTGGAGAAAGATGGTAGAGGTGGAGGCACCGGTGGCGGCGGCTACCGCCGCTAATGCGCGGCGGAGGAGCGCGGCCCCCGGGAGGAAAACACCGTCCGGGTCTTTCCTCCGGCTGCGGGGAGTTTCTCCCCCGATAGTTGAGAGGAAACTCCCCAGCCCCAGTCCGCCCCGCCGTACCCCCGCCTCCGCCGCCTCCTGCCTGCCTGCCCGCTGGGGCGGGCGCCCAGCCGTCAGTCGGTCCGTCCCCCCCCGCCTGGGGGTCCCGTCCCCGCTCCCGGCCCCTGTGTGTGTCCCCGCGGGAGACGGGCCCGGCTCCCCACCCCACCCCCGCTGCAGGGAGTGGGGACCAGGGAGCTGCGAAGAGGGCAGTGGGCTGAGGGGAGATTGGCCCTGGGGCTGTTGGGAGAAGTTTCAGGGACTCCCTCCGCACCCCGGCGGTGTCACCACTTTCTCAGCCCCTCTCGCTACTGAAGCGCTTTTCTCTCTTACACTCCGGTTTTAACTCGGGCAGGGGCTGCAGAAGCTCCGCCCCTGACACGTCCCCGAGCCACGTGATACACCGCCCCGCTGTTCTATTGGTTGGGCTTTGGGTTCTCATTAGCATATTCAAACACCTCAGGGGCGGGGGAAGCTTGTAGGCCGAGATGGAGGACTGTTACTGGGCACGCGCGGAGGCGGGGCAGCGAGTGCGCGCGCGAGGAAGCGCGAGGGGCGAGCAGGTGGGCCCAATGCCGAGGAGGCGGGCTCCGGAAAAGGGCGGGGCCAGGCGGCGGAACCTCCGCGGCGCGGGGGCGGGGCCACGGCCGTGAGCTTCCGCGTCACTGCGCCGCTGCCTCTCCTTGGGTGTTGGAGGTGATAGGGTCGGGAGATAGGAAATGGTCACTACATGCCAGCTTTCCGAATCGTGGGGCTAGGAGGGCCGAGTAAAATGAACAGAGGCCGAGTTAGAGAAACCGGTAGGCCGACGCTCGCCCTCCCGAGGTCGGCTCGCAGCCGCAGTGGCTGGAGGACACCGGGCCTCGTGGGGCGGCGGCGGGGGAGGGGAAACAGGTTGTTTTTGACCTGGGACCGAGAGACCCGCTTTCCCGGGCTGCGCTCCAGCCTGGCCGGGAGCTTCTTTTCGGAGAACGCACCAGAAAGGAAAATAGCCCTGTATTGCCTCTCTGCAAACGGGAGAAAGCTCCAGTTTCTTGTCAAATCGTGTTAGGGCACTAAGTGTCGGTTTTAAGAATCGAAACGGATTTGTCAAATCGCAGCCCGTTTCCCTCGTTTTAAAGTGAAAACGCTGACCACATTGCGCAGGTGACTCGGAATAGATTCCCCAGAGCCCCCACCTTTCATCCTTCCTAATACTGTCAGGGGAAACGTTTTCTTAAGCCCTATTATTTTTGCCTGAAGTCTTTAACCTACGTTTGCAAGTCCGAAGACCTGTTTCCCTAAATGTAGCTGGAAAAAAAAACAAGACACTGCCTAAAATACAAGTTGAATTAGAGACAGCCTTTGTAAGACTGGATATTTATAGGGCATGTCCCACTATTCTTGCACTTCCTGGTTTTACTTTTTTTTTTTTTTATCTTAAATTCTCATCTTGCACGGAGGACATCTCAAGTGTTCGTAGCACAGACTTGCTTGTAACCCTTTTTAAAATCTGACTGCTGGACTTTTTCTCGTTTTCAAACAACCTCTGAAAGTTTTGTTAATTTAGTAACAAACAGTAGCTTGCTTTTATGTGGGAATGAACCATAGAAGAGGCATGATATTAGGAGGTTAGGACTACAAAAGATGAAATAATACTCTGACAGCCAGTAGTTGCTGGGAAGCGGAATTAATATATGAAGGCCCTGCCTTCAAAAAATTAAGGTATATATACATTTCTGGCTAATCTAAGCAGAAAATGATTCATTACTAAGTAATTCAGGGGAAAATCTGTTACCTGGGGATGATGGGAACAGTTTCAAAGGTCAGTACGTTTGTGCTTTAAAGTGGTATTTCTGGAGAATAGATCTCAATCTGAATCAAGAGTTCAGTGACAAAACAAAAGTTTTTTTAACAGTTCTATGATTTTTCTTTGAACAAGTGCATAGTTTTCAGAGAATTAATCTTTAATTTTCTCTACCAGTGCTTTTCAGGTGTGGTCTGTGGAGTCCTGCCTGACTGAAAATATACTCTATAGGATCATAAGAAATTTCTTTTTCCTGTTCATCACTGAGATTTGAGAAGCACTGCTTCTCAAGGATTAGTGTGATTTGAAAATGAAAAAGAAGAAGCAGCTGGTGAAAAACAAATTCAGGCACTGAAAATTGAAAAAGTTAGCACTGCTTTGCTGAGGGCTTGCTGGGGGCAGAGTGCAAGTTCAGCCAGACCATTGGACCACTGTGGCAGACATGAATAATAGGAAATCCAGGAAGGTAGGCAGGTCTAGACAGTAAGCCGTTATTCCCAGTGTAAGAACTGCCCCCTCTGGATTAGGTTTTGTTGGGGAAGCTGGGTATAAAACAATACTTGAAGGAAATCAAACTAGTCCACTGAAGGGCTCACATTATTGATGACCATACCTTTCACAGTTATTTGGAATCATTTTCCGATAGAGCCATGGCAGTTCTTCTTCCATGGCTCAGTGGTGTTGGCACACAATCATACAAGGGTTGTCTGTAGAAAAGTGTTTTTGGAAACAGTAGGTGCAAAGATCAGGAGAGCTAAGTCCAGAGAACCAACTGGAGCATATAACCAGAACCCATGCTCATGATGGCACTGGATTTCCAGCCCAGAAGTGCTAAATGGCAAGGCCTTTGGGCTGACCAAGAAAGAGATCAGGACATACATAGGCAGCAAATAGGAAACCATCAGAAACTAGGAAACGCTGGCACACAGTCCCTAGACAAATATTGTGAAGTAGGCCACATTTATTCTTGGTGGCTCTGGTTTGCAGTCTAGCTATTGGTTGATAATAGCTTAAAAGCAGTAGTTCTTAGCCAAGAAATACACATCAACATCACTCATAGAGCTTTAAAAACAATGTACCAAGTGTCCATACCCAGAGGAAAAGGATTCAATGGAATTAGAATGGGGCCAGGCAAGATGGCTGAGAAAGTAAAGGCACTTGTCACCTGGCAACCTGAGTTTAATCCCTGGAACCCACATAAAAGTGGAAGGACAGAATCAATTCCACAAAGGTGTCCTCTGACCTCCACATGTGCACTGTGCCTCATGTGCACACATACACACACACTAAAAAATATTTTTAAGGGCCGGGCATGGTGGCGTGTGCCCTTAATCCCAGCACTTGGGAGGCAGAGGCAGGCAGATCTCTGTGAGTTCAAGGCCAGCCTGGTCTACATAGTTCCAGGACAGCTGGGGCTACAGGGAGACTGTCTCAAAAAAACCAAAAAAAAAAAATTTTTTTTAATTAGAATTAGGATGGGCCTTGGTCACCTTTTAAAAAAAAATACTTCAGCTGAATCTTACAATACTGAGTAAGAACTACGTATTTAGGGGCTGGAGAGATGGCTTAAGTGGCCAAGAGGACTTGAGTTTGTTTCTCAGTACCCATATGGCAGCTCTCAACCATCAGTAACTCCAGTTCCAGGGACTCCAATGCCCTCTTCTGGGCTTTATGGGCACCAGGCATGCATGTAATGCACTTACATACATGCAGGCAAAACCCTCATAAAAATTAATTTAAAAAAAAAAAAAAACATGTCTAGGGCCTGCAAGATGGCAAAGGATGTAAAGGCACTTGCCTCACAAGCCTGGCCACTTGAATTTGATCCCTGGAACCCCTGTGATAGAAGGAGAGAACCGACTCCACAAAGTTGGCCTCTGACCTTTCTACACACACATACACATACTCAAACTTCATACACATAAAACAATAATAATTTTTAAATGGAAAGAACTACATCTTTAATGTACAAGAATAATGTATATTTCTAGCATCTCAAAGTATTTTTCACATATCCTAGAACTACTGCATTTAAAAATTTGAATAATAAAGGAGAAAAAACTAAATGTAATCACCAATCTATATGATGACGTGCATGGATTCAACTATGTTTGGCAAAAGAGGGGAGATAATATAAAAGTGCTGGAGATTGCAGTATTCCTCGGAGCTTTGGCCTGAAGTAAACAAGAAATGGGGGCCATGAGTCTCTTCACTCATTTTCTATTTGCGATTCTGAAGACTTCTACTTATATTTAGGCTTACTTTCCTAAAATATGACCCCTAAAGTCAAGCCAAGCCTTTCATAAGACTCAGCTGAAGAAACAGTTCTTGCACTGCTAGAGGGAAGACTAGTTGGAATGGTATGTGTTGAAGATTGTGCGGTTGCATTCTAGAAAATTTAGGAAGATCTTTCTGGGAGAACATTGGTCAGAATAGATAGATAGATAGATAGATAGATAGATAGATAGATAGATAGATCTCATATATAGATATATATCATATATAGATATCATATATATATCTCATATATATATATGAGAGAGAGAGAGAGAAAAGATACCCTTTGCTGGTGTTTTTGAAAGAGTGCTGTCAAAGGGGCTGGAGAGAAGACTCAACAATTAAGAAAGCACAGTTGCTGCTGTAGAAGAGGACCCAGGTTTGGTTCCTAATACCCACATGGCAGCTCACAACTGTGACTCGAGTTCCAGGGGATCCAATGCCTTATGGCCTCCTCAGGTGTCAGGCATACACATGGTGCACGTACATACATGAAGGCAAAATACATACACATAAAAATAATTTATTGTAAAAATGTAGTGCTGTCCAAGTGCCCTTGCTCTAATCTAAAAGGGAATACATAAATTTTGTGGAAACCTGAAAGCATGATGACTGTAGCTTAATAGCCTAAATTATTCAAATACAGCTATTCTAACAGAATTAAGAACTGATGAGTTAGACTTATTTGTAGGAGACAACCAGATCCCTTTTAAATTATTTTAAACCAATTAAGCAGGGTAACACTTTAAAAATAGTTATGTGCTGATGACTTGACATTTGATATCTGGATGTGCCATCTGAACAAAATCAGATGAGCCCAGTGTTCCTCATATGTAACCTAACAGAATTGCCTTTGGCATCTTACCATTTCCTACCTCTCTGCAATACTACCTTCTTTCAGATCATAATTGTGATATTGAGAACCTCAAAAACCTAAAAGTGGGAGCTAGAGAGGTGGCACAGCAGTTAGGAGCACTGGCTGCTTTTGCAGAGGACCCGGATTCAATTCCCAGCACCCACGTGACAGCTAACAACCATCTGTAACTTCAGTTCCAGAGGATCTGACACCCTTTTTTGACCTCCATGGGCACTGCACAACAGATGCACTTACGTGCAGAGAAAACACTCATAAACATAAAAATATATATTTTTTAAAAACTAAAAGTAACAAGCATAAAAACTGGATATGGAATTATGCAACCAAGTTCATCAAATAATACACATAAAAGGAAATTTAATTTTGGTTGTCCAAGTATATAACACAAGCTCACTAAAAAGAAGCAAGAGAAATTAGATTTTTTCCAGTGAGCAGTGTTCTGCAATAATAGTTGAATTCGCAGGCAATTTAAGATCTGTCCTTAAAATGGACAGACCAAGATTGAAGATTGCAGTCAGAACAGTTTCTCTGGTGAAAGAGCATAAACATTGCAGATTTCTTTCAACTAAGTGTATGTGTGTGTGTGTTACTGGGGATTGAACCCAGAGCCTTGCAAATGCTAGACATGAGCTCAATTGCTGAGCTATATTTTTACTGGGTGTTTTTTTTTTTTTTTTTAAGGCAGGGTCTCCCTAAATTGCCCACACTGGCTTTGAACTCACTCTGTAGCCCAGGCTGGCCTTAAATTGCAGTCTCCTGGCCCCAACCTCCCAAGAAGCTGGGACTCCAGGCCTAAATCACCAGGTTTTGCTAGCTAATATTAAATGCACACCAAATATATGATAGGCATTCTGCTAGGCCCTAAGAGAGTTTATAATGAAATGGAAAGACAGGAGACAGAGAAAACATACTAAGATACAGCAGCAGCAGTCCCCAAGTGTCCTATAGTAAGATCTATCTTTAAAGAATTGCTTTGCCAGGTAATGTATTTCATCAGTTTGGGGATACCTTATATTGTTAAGAATTTTTTTTGGACCACTAGGGTGGGGCAACTGCTAGTTAAACTATGAAACAATACTATATTACCTAGAAGTTATCCAAACTGATGAATTCTGCCAACAAATGCATTAATGATGGAACATTTTCCTAAAAGAATATGCTGCTTTTGTCTTTGGTATACCAAAATGTTGGCATCTGTTTTGTGAGTTGTGGCTAGTGTTTTCTTGATTCAGTGGGTGTCATGGAAAGGTTTTCAGACCACAACCAACTTAGAACTCTTTCTTTACAGGATTGGTTGAATGGAAAGTTGATGGTTTGTGATTGTCATGCCATCGGGAATAACCACCAAGTCTGCACATGTGTGAACTGCCTTCTGATGGCAGCATTGTAAGATGCTGGTGATTGTAAGTCACATCCAATTTTAAATGTTAAAATGGAAAGAAATGTACACGCTAAAGATGGTTAAATATCATGTATTGCTAATTACTATTAAAGTAAATGTTAGGAGAATATGCAGAGAGCTGTGTGGACATGAAGGATGGAACAGCAACCCCTCACATAGTGGTGTCAAAGCAGAGACCAGTAAGATGTGTGAGAGGGTGAGAAGGGCAGGAGAACTGGAGCCTATGTAGAAGAGTGGCAGCAGTGGAAACTGGGCCACTTCCCGAAAGGTTTCATGTGCTCAACTGAGGCATTTTGAATTGTATTCTTTGGGTTATAAAGGAAAAATACAGTAGAGATCATGGAATGACCCTAAGAATCAGAATTTCATTTTAAGAAGATAGTTTCAGCAGTGATTTGGAGGATGGATTAAAATTGGAAGATGGCGGATAAGGATACCGATCGGGCAAGTTCTGCTTGAGGCCATGGAGCATGTAAGAATACTCTGGGCCAGGGGAGATGGCTCAGTGAGTAAAAATGCTTGCTATGCAAGCATGAGAACCTGAGCTCAGAGCCCAACATCAAAAATAATCAGGGAACAGTCACACCTGTCTGTAACCCCAGTGCTGGGGGATGAATCCTGGGAGCTTACTGGCCAGTAAACTGCTGAGATAGTGAGCTTCAGGTTCAGTAAGAGACCTTGTATCAAGGGAATAAGGTAGAGAGTGATGAAGACACAAAATGCCCTCCTCTGGCTTCTGTCTGCATGTGCACGGGCATGTACACATATCACAAACATAAATAAATAATCATGGGAATTGCAAAAGAAACGCTAAGGAGAGAATTGTCAAAAACACTGAGGTAATAGACTAACAATATGGCTCAGCAGGTAAAGGAGTTTGCCATGCAAACCTGACAAGCTGAGCTCAATCCCTACAGCCTACCTAAAGTGGCACTTCCCCCTCTCCCCTCATGATTTGTGTGAATAAAGTCATCTGTGGTACTGGGAAGTGAATACTATCAAGTGCTAGGTGACTAAATTCCTAATAAGAGATATTTCCCTAAAAAACCCAATGATGTTGAACTAGAGAGGTGCTCAGCAGTGAAGAATACTTGCTGTTCTTCCAGAGGACCCAAGTTCAATTCCCAGCACCCACATCAGGCAGCTCACAACTATAACTCCAGCTCCAGAGGTTCTTTCATGCCCTCTATCCTCCTTAAGCACCTCATGCATTTGGTAGACGCATACATATGCATAAATAAAAATAAAACCTTTAAAATAAAAAGACCAATGGTGTTTATTCAGTTTCCTGTTCCAGTGACTACAAAGCCCATATGAGTTTTGCAATAAATAAAAGGTGAGAGGGGAAAGAGATACCTATCTTTGTGAAGTTTACGTTCTAATAGGGAATTAGTAAATATATGATAGGCTCATGCTAAATGCTAAGGTGGAAAAAAAGAAGCAAAATGCAGAGGGGGAAGGTTATAGTTTCACACGTGAGAAACTGGGAACTTATTAAAGAAAATGTTCTTTGAACAGAGACCCAAAAGAAATAAGACAGAGATCTGTGCAGATGTCTAGGGAAAGGCAGATTTTATCCATTTATCTTACTGAAATGCTATGATCCACCCATCCCCCAAAACTTCCAAGGTAATGGCATTAGGAGATGGGCTATGGGAAGGTGGTTATATCACAAGGTAGAACCCTCATGGATGGAATTAGTTGGCTTATAAGGTTCCCAAGGGAGGTCATTCACCCCTTCCTACCATGTGAAGACACAGCTAGAAGTTACCATCTATGAAACAGGCCCTCATCACTTTTACTTCCCAGACTTTACACATGTGAGAAAGTTCTGCTATTTATACACTACCCGGTTCATAGTATCTTGTTCTGGAAGCCCAGGCAAACTAAGACATAAAGTTTTAATAGAACAATTTGTCCGGGACATGTAGCTCAGTGGCAGAGCACTTACTTCAGGTGCTCAAACCCCTGGGTCTGATCCCTGCTTCCACATGGGGAAAAGCTGGCAGTTTTATATACTGATGGCCATTAAAGTTTTATTTACTAGTAAATATTCTTTGTTGATATTTAATCACTAGTCTCATAAGCATTGTTATTAGTAATAAGTATTCTTTGTTGGTATTTATTCTTTAAAGCAGTACTATTTTTAAAGATTTAATGTGTGTCTGTCTGTCTGTCTGTCTGTGCAGGTATGTACTTGTGGAACCCAGAAAAGGGTATTGGATCTCCTAGAGCTGGAGTTACAGGAAGTTGTGAGCTGCCTGATGTGGGTGCTAGGAGCTGAACTCATGTCCTCTGCAAGAACAGCAAGTGGTCTTTATCACTGATCCATCTTTCCATCCTCTTAAGCAGTATTATTGATTAATAATAATTATTTGTGGGGCTGGAGGGATGGCTCAGCAGTTAAGAATGCTGGTTGTTCTTACAGAAGACCTGGGTTTGAATCCCAACACCCACATGGAAGCTAACAACTGTCCGTAACTCCAGTTCCAGGGGATACGACAGCCTCTTCTGTCCTCCGCGGGCATTGTACAACACTGGTGCACTTACCTACATGCAGGCATTACACACATACACATAAAATAAAAATAATAAAAATTTAAAAATAATTATCATTATTATTTGTTAACATGGGCTGTGTCTGTCAGGAAAATGTCAATCATTTATTACATATTACAGAGATAGTTAATCTTATAGTAAACTGGTGCTATTAGATTCTTGGGATTCAGTAATAAATCAGCTAGACCTAATCCCTATGAATCCACAATTAAATTGGAATTACAGGCAGCACATAATATTTTAGTACAGGTATGTTCCCTATGATGTTTGGGACATACAATAGAAACTGCATTATCTAAAGTTCATACTTCATTGTACATCCTGTATTTATTGAACCTGGCAATTCTGTGTCCTCCTCTTAGTTAAGACTTAACAGACTGGAAATGAATTATCAGTAAATATAGTTAGGATATGGTAGACATGCTTTGTAACATACAACCATAAATTTAGAAGTCACTGGGACCCTAAATGAGTGAAGGAAACCTGCCTGCTAATCAAGAACACCCCCAGATCAAGAAATTCTTGGGGCCTGGAGAAATAGTTCAGCCGTTAAGAGCACTGGTTGTTCTTGCAGAGACCCGAGTTCAAATCCCAGCACCCATGGTGACTAACAACCATCCGTAACTCCAGTTCCAGGAATTCTGACACTCTCTTCTCTCCTCCTCAGGTACTTCAGGACACAGGTGCACTGACACACATGCAGGCAATACACTCATATACATAAAATAAAAAGAAATCAAAAAAAGAAGAAAAGAGAGAAAGAAAGAAAGAAAGAAGAAAGAGAGAGAGAGAAAGAAAGAAAGAAAGAAAGAAAGAAAGAAAGAAAGAAAGAAAGAAAGAAAGAAAAAAAAAGAAATTCCTATTGTGTTTGAGTAAGTCTCTGCTTTGGATCTACTTGCTCCACAGTCTCTGTTAGTCTCCTTGCTTTTCCTAGCAAACATGTCAGCCCTAAAATCCACTGCCTTTCCCAAATACAGTCCGGAATAAAAAGTTTTAGCATAATGTAAAAGCGATAATAAAACATACTAGAGGGAGATAAACCAAATCTAAAACTAAAAATATTTGAACTATAGTCATTATAATATACCTTTTTAACTGAGTGCTTTCTTATAGGGGTTGGGGGGGGTTGCACACCTTTAATCCCAGAACTTGGGACGCAGAGGCAGATGGATCTCTGTGAGTTCCAAGCCAGCCAGGGTTACAGGCCAGATAGGCTCACATACATAGGTGAGAGACCCTGTGTCAAAAATAAACAAAACAAAAATCCTGAGTGTTTTTAAGTTGGTCATGGAAAAATGAAACAACATTATTTAAAAATTGCATTACCAACACTATGTATCACTCCTGGTTATTAAAACATTTCAAATGCTTTTTTCCTTTCAAGTAATTACTGAAAACTCTAAAAATCATAATGATATACTAATGTTTGCCATCAAAAAGCTTGTGGCCTAAGAGAGGAAATAAAGAGAATACCAGCAGAGCCAAAAGATACATGCAGACCATTCTCAGAAATTCATTCACCCAGACTAGAGGGAAACAGAGAAAGCAAGAGAACAAAGAGGCAATTCTCTTCAAAACTTTTTAATTTTTGAGATTTCTTTTTTAAATTTTTTTATTAAATTTTGTTACATTTCATACAGAATATCTCAAACAATCTGAATCATCTTTATAGCCCGGTCCCCACCAGCACCCTCCCATAGCCTCTCCCACTGGAACCCATATACTCTGTCCTGGGTGTTAAGGCCCACTGTGTCAAGTCAGTGTCCCCAGACGTTCCCCAGTACAATCCATCCACTTGCAGTTTAGTCAGATTTGAGATTTCTTTTTACACATATGAGTGTATTGCCTGAATGTATGGAATTGCACTCATGTCATGCAGTGCCCACAGAGGTTAGAAGAGGGTGTCAGATCCCTTGGATCTGAAGTTATAGATGGATGTTAGCTGCCATGTGGGTGCTGGGAACCAAACCCGGGTCCTCTGCAAGAGCAGCCAGTGCTCTTAACCCCTGAATCATCTCTCCAGCCCCAACTTGAGATTTATTTATTTATTTATTTATTTATTTATTTATTTATTTATTTATTTATCTTTTTGAGACAGAGTCTCCCTGTAGCCCCAGCTATCCTGGAACTCACTATGTAGACCAGGCTGGCCTCGAACTCACAGAGATTCGCCTGCCTCTGCCTCCCAAGTGCTGGGACTAAAGGGATGTGCCACCGCCTGGCTAACTTCTGAGATTTTCTTAAGCTTATAGGTAGAGATTATTTTGGGCTGGGGATGTTGCTCAGTGGTAGAGCATTTGCCTAATCTGTGAGAGACCCTAAATTCAATCCCCAGATGAACAAAAATTATAAAAGTAGATGTTATTGTCAAAACATAAAAAAGAATAACAGAAGAGAGAAGCTTTAATCCCACTACCCAGTGATAATCACTGATAGAATTTT